CACATTTACCATCGTTACCGTTAGAGAAGTTTGACGGAGACTATATAAAATGGCCAAGGTTCTAAAATTGTTTCATGAAACAAGTAAATGATGCTGCTAGTCTTGATGAGGTTGACAAATTGCATTTCTTACGATCTTGTTTACAAGGAGCGCCGTTGTACTTAATCGATGGATTAGATGTGGCCGAGTCGTCGTATAGTCGGGCCTTAGCTCTTCTCAAGGATTGCTATCAGCGCAAGTGATTTTTAATAAACATCCATGTTCGAACGTTGTTTGAAATGAAAAATTTAGCAAGTTCAGCTTCAAAGGATTGGCGTAACTTTTTATCAACGTTTGATCAGCAAGTGGAAGATCTTCGTTCATTAAAACGACCGGTTGAGTATTGGGATGATCTGTTAGTGGGGATTGTACGAAGTAAACTGGATCTTGTTACACTGGAAAAATGGGATTTGTCGCATAAGGCCAATGAGAACGTGACGTTAAAAATGCTTTATGACTTTATGACCACCTATCCTAAAATTTCCTCTTTCCTCTTTTCATCTAACTATTAATAAAGCATGACAAAATAAATGGTCAAATTTTTGTTTAGCAAACTGGCATAAATCTATAGTTTCAANAATAAATGGTCAAATTTTTCTTTAGCAAACTGGCATAAATCTATAGTTTCAATTATTCCTAAACATCCTTGGTTTTACACCCTCCCTCTGTTCCGTTTCCATATTACCTCATTTTCCCGTCTTAGATTTGGTCATAATTGGCTACTTTATCAAGTCACTAAATTATTCTCCATTTTCCCCAAACACAATGATGAAGTCCCCTGTAATTTTTCTCATTTACTATTTGATTGCCTAGCTTTACAACATAACCGTTTACTCTTGTTCAATTTCCTTTCCTCCCTTAATATTTCACCCATTAATAGTTTTAATATCCTTAATACAAAATCCTCCCCAATAATTATACAAATAATTTCCTTCGTTCATTCAGCTGGCTTCGATATATAATATTTTTCTCTCAAGTTAATTATTAACCCCTTTTCGAAAAATTATAATTATTTTAGCCTAATCCTTTATTGGCAAGCCCATAAAATCCAGTATAATGATAAAAAATTAATTATTTATATATTGTCAAAAATTATTTAAATTTAATTATTATACACACATAGAAATCTTGGATGTTTTAACAATAAATAGGGTCGTTGAAGCTAAAATGTAAAGTTTATAGTTATTTCCATTGTCGTACGTTGGTATTGCCCCGATGTAGACATAAAAAGTCGTACACAAATTAACAAATGTTCATTGACGACGAGTTCGTCGTTTTTTAGATCTTCTCGAATCCTGCCGTTGGATACACTGGTCAACTCCAATCTCTCAAATCAGTGAACTACTAAAGGGCTAGAGTTTAGACCCGTCAGCATGGTCTAGCTCAAAAGTAGCAGACTGAAGGGTGGGTCCTTGTCAGCCACCAGCACAACTACCTTTTAACTGTACCTACTAAAGGACGGTTAAGCCCAAAAATTAGCCAGCAAGCACACTAGTTATTAAGATTGATTAAATGACGAGCGTCCAACCTCGACTCTAGCCGCACACACAAACACAATTTTAACAGCACAGTGGATATAAAATATTTACGCTAAGTGCAGGTTTTTAAATAGTTATTTTATTTAAGAAACGTAATAAACACAAAGTCAAAGTGTAATATAAAAATTTAACACAGAACAAATTAAATCGTACAAAAAACAAAGTTACTCGAATCAAACATTCTGACCCGTAACTCGACGTTTCTTCGACAAAATGTCCAGTCCCTCTATCCTTTTCATGTTTCGCTTTTATATTCTTTATCTCATCATTATTAATTTGCTTACCCTTTTGTATGACATTATCAGAGCCGGATTAACATAGGTGCAAAAGGAGCTTTTGCTTTAGGGCGGTATAAATTTTTGTAGTACAAATATTAAATATTGTGCACATTTTTTTTTTTTATGTTAAATCTAGTAATACCTGTAAGCTTATCTATTGGATAATTACAATTTTTCATTTTAATAATATATATTCTTATTTTTAAAGTATGAAATGATGAACTACATCACTTAATCATATATTTATAATATTATGAGGATGGACTAGCGCATAGGTACAACTACGATTACAGTTGTATTCATCACAGTTTACATTTAATTATGTAAAATTGAGTTTAAAATAAACGACTTATGTAGTTTTGTGTAGTCGATTTCCTCTGCCGCGTCGTTAACTACGACTGTTATCGTCTAATTTTTGTTAAAGTATACGTACCTGCGACTATTATATATATACAGTCAACTCGCGATATAACGAAGCTCGTTATAATGAAAATCTCGATATAACAAATAAAACTGTCGGTCCCTTGAAAATCTTGTGATATAACGAAAAATTACATTTATTTTAGTTCCCTCGATATAACGAAGTTTTTTTGACCAACGCTCTCGCTATGTAACGAATTATAATAATGTCGTCGTAATAGCTTGCTATTACGGTGTTTGTTTCAGCGTTTTTCACGCGATAAGATAAATGACTCTACAACGTTTTTGTAACCTTTACGTTATCGTTTTAATTTAGTTTGATTGTTGCGTCAAAAGCGATCACATGAAATTCCGCTCGTCGCGTTTATAAGCATGAGTTTAAAACGTAAGTGTTTGTCAATTTCTGTCAAGAAAAGAATAATTGAAGCAGTCGAAAGTGGCAAAAAGAAAAAAGATGTAGCGGATAGTTTTCAAATCCCTTCTTCATCACTTTCTACAATTTTGAACAGAAAGAAGCGATTTTTAATAAAACTGACGCAGAAGGTAGCCGAAAAAAGAACCGACCAAGCGAGTTTCTCCATTTAGAACAGTGTTTGTTCACTTGGTTCAATCAAGTTAGGCAGCAAAACATTCTAGTGAGTGGTATATTAATCAAGGAAAAAGCCAAAAGTTTTGCTGAAATATTAGATATCTCAGATTTTACTGCTAGTGATGGCTGGTTATCTAATTTTAAAAAGCGTTATAACTTGGTGTTCAGAAAAATTTGTGGAGAAAGTGNCTAATTTTAAAAAGCGTTATTACTTGATGTTCAGAAAAATTTGTGGAGAAAGTGCAAGCGTCGATAATGGTATCAGTGAGAATTGGAAGGTGAAACTTCAATACTTGTTATGTGAATACGATCCGAAAAATGTGTTCAATGCTGACGAGACAGGACTATTTTTTAAATGTTTACCAGACCGAACACTAACGTATAAAAATAAAAAGTGCCATGGAGGGAAACTGAGTAAGGAGCGAGTTACATTACTTTTTGCGGTAAATATGGATGGTTCGGAGAAGTTGAAGCCCTTATTTATAAGTAAATCCGCTAAACCTAGGTGCTTTAAAAACGTCAAATCTTTGCCGGTGACGTATAGAAACAACAGAAAATCGTGGATGACTACCGAACTTTGGAACGAATGGCTTGAAACCCTCAACAATGACATGAAAATCAACGCAGAAAAATTATCATATTCGTTGATAATTGCACTGCCCATAACAATCTCTCTACTCTCTCTAACGTGCGAATTGAATTCTTTCCGGCAAACACGACTTCAAAACTCCAACCTCTTGATCAAGGGATAATTAAAAACTTTAAAGTTTTATATAGAAAGGAAATTGTTTCTAAATTTTTGGACTGCTTGGAAAATAACGATTTTCCGAAAGTAACTATTTTGACTGCTATAATGATTAGCTATAAAGCTTGGAACAATGTGACTGTACAAACGATTCGTAACTGCTTTAGAACATGTGGATTTGCAAAGAAGAAGACGAAATCTCTGCCACTTTAGCAGTTGACAATCAATGGTATAGATTATCTACTGTTCCAGTCGAACAGTTATTAACGTTTGAGGAATTTATTGCTATCGACGATGATTTGGCTGTTTGTGGTTCTCTCAATGACGATGAGATTTTAAAAAAAAACTGATGACGAGGAAGTCAATGATGAAGAAGAATTGTCCGAAGAGCCTCCTCTTCTATCTAATTCTACAGTCACCTCGAAGGAAGCCAAAGCAGGTCTCCGTGCCGTTTTAAAATATTTACAAATTAACACAACATAGACGATAGTATATTTATTCACATTTTAAAATTAGATAATACAATTGACCAAGTAAGCTCAAGTGGCTATACACAAAAAAAAAATAACCGATATTTAAAAAAAATAAATATGTATGTATATATGTATCATAATTTATTTAAAATAAATTTTTTTAAATCTTGTTATTACGAACTTTTGATATACCGAACTTTTTCCTCGGTCCCTTGAAATTCGTTATATCGCGAGTTGACTGTATATATACATGTATAGATAAGTAGATGATCATAAGAATGATGTCAATAATAAAATGAATATCTGAATATTTGGATAAAATTACAAATAAGTCCAGCACTCACTTCTCAATTGTCAGAGTTAACAAAAAGTGTTAAAAATTAAGTTAAGTTGTTGTGAGTACCGTAAAAAGGCAATCGAAAAAAATAATAAAAATAAAGATGTTATTGAATCATGCCAAAAATTAGACAGTTTTTTTAAAAAAGGTAAGCAGCTTTTAAACGATTTATAAATATCTATTTACAGTTGGAAATTTAGTAAAATTACGTACTTATTTGGTAAAAAATATTCCATTATTTTAGCTTCGATGCGAATTTTGGTATAAATGGTATTAATTTTATTATGATGTGGTATTATTATTTTTTTATAAAAGTATACTTATTTTTTTAAGTCTCACTGGACCGATTGCGATGAACGATACATCAAAATATCACGAATTGTATCTAATTGAAGACATCGCCCAAAGAAATTTGAAATAATCTCCTCGTTCTCCAAGAAAATTCCAAAAAAATTATGATTTTTAAAATCAACAAATTTTGAAAATTTTCATAATTTTTTGATAAAAATCTCCATACATTTTCGAAATTTAAGAAATCAAAATAATTTTTTTCGATGTAATAACATTAGATATTTTATTTTTGTTTTTTATATTTTTTAAATCTGGCATTTTCCCTACCAACAAGGGGGAATAAAAACAGCTACTTTTGCATAAAAAGTTGATTTCTTCAAATAAACATTGAAATGTTTACTAAAATACTGCAACCTTAAAACATATTTTTAGTTAAAGCTTATGTTGTGAACTATAAGATCTAAAACAAAAATTTTACCCGACACCTTTTCTTCTAAGTACAAACGACTGCAGTAGCTCAAAAACATGTTATTTTTGCGTTAAAATGTTTGATAATAATTTTATATTTTCAATTTAAATCGCTGTAATTATTTAAATAATGCATGGATCTTTTAATTGTTATAACTTTTTCATAAACATATCTATTTTTTTTTAAGTGGATAATTTCTCCTTATACAATGGAGGGTATAGAGTTAAAAATTTCGTTTAAAATGATGAAAATTTTCAACTTATCTTTTGAAAAATTTCCGAAAATATTATCAAGCTTTAAATAAACTTAAAATATTATTCTTTATACCCGTTTAAATTCAAAATTACAGCTTAGATTTCGATTTTTATTTTTTTTTGTAGAATTCTCCATTTAATATTGAAAATGTAAATACTTTAACAATATCTAAATATGAAGAATCTATTGATGATTGTATCTTACAATAATGTGGTGAAACAAAGTTTATACTTGAATATATTGACGAAAAAAATTGTTTAAATGACAATAGCAATGATAATTCATTAGAGAGCTCAGTCACTATACTAAGTTCAGATCCAGCTGAATGGAACCTCGCTTCTCTTGAAATAATAAATTATTTGTTAAAAAATCCACCATTTGAAAATAGAGACCACATCGATTTTAAAAATACTAAACAATTGTTCGGCAAACAATTAAGAAAACTTCCATGTAATATATTTGAAAGACGTCTTCTTAATGATGAAATTAAAAATAGATCATGGTTTCTTTATTCAAAATCTAAGAATGCTTTGTTTTGTTTTCAATGCCTTATTTTTGCTACTAAAAAACAGGTATTTAGTGATCCATCTGTAGGATTTACTAATTGGCAAAAGTATCACCATTTGGTTGCAGAACATGAAAAAATTGTATCTCATAATACATGTATCCGTTTTTAAGAACCACTAAAAATACTTAGGTTATAGATAATGCTTTGCAAGAACAGGTATATAACGAAATTAATTATTGGAAAAATTTATTACATCGCGTAGTGTGTACAATACAATTTTTATCAGAAAGAGGGCTTGCTTTTTGCGGAGAAGATGAAAATTTTGGTTCAAAACATAATAGAAATTATCTAGAATGCTTAGAGCTCATTTCTAAATGCGATCCATTCATTGCAAATCACATATCAAATCATGGAAATAAAGGCCGTGGCAATGTGTCTTACTTGTCATCTACAATATGCGATGAATTTATATCATTAATGAGCAAAACAGTTATTGATAACATTGTAATTCAAATCAAAAAATTAAAATACTTTTCAATCATTGTTGATTCGACTCCTGATAATACTAAAGTAGACCAATTGACCATTATTATAAGGTTTATGACAGATAATAGTTCTGTAGTTGAAAGATTTGTAGGATTTTTTGAATCAGTCGACCACAAAAGTGAGGACATGGAAACTGCTTTACTTCAACGTTTTACAGATTTAGATATCAATTTTAAAAATTGTAGGGGACTATAATATGATAACGCGACAAATATGTCAGGCATTTATAATGGATAACAGGCTTGTATTAAACGAATATCTGAACAAGCGTTGTTTGTACCGTTTGCTGCGCACTTTTTGAATTTGGTAGGGTCAAACGCTGCTTAAGCTACCAGTAAAGGAATTAGGTTTTTTTTCAATATACAGATGGTTTATAATTTTTTTTTTTGGTTCAACAAGTTGTTGGGAACTTTTAGAAGATACCTAAATAAAATTAAAGGTTCATTAAGTATCAAAAATTTATGTAAAACTAGGTGTTTATCGAGGTATATGCTTAAATATCGGGTACTAAGAAATCTTAAATGTTCTAGAAGTAATATACTCAGATAAATATCAACGAACAGCAGTATGTTACGAAGCAAAATCTATTTATAAAAACATTTGTACTTTGGAATTTTCATTTATGTTATGCATGTCGTATCTAATTTTAAAACGTTTTGAAGCTACTTCAAAAGCACTTCAGTTAGAAAATATTGATTTATGTAACGTAATTTCATTATATACTTCATTGGAGGATTATATTCAAGAAATTTGAAATTCTTTCGACACATTTATAGAAGAAGCAAAATTTCGAAATGTTTGTGAAACATTTGTTTGGGAATCAACGAGGATAAAAATTAGACCAGTATTATTAGATGATGATAAGAACACTTCGGACGTTATTTTTACGGTAAGTGAAAAAATGAAATTTTTTTAGTGATTATTGACAAATTAATTTTTGAACTAAATAGAAGAATGGAAATTTACACTGAATTATATAATAAATTTGGATTTTTATTAAATATTGATAATGAATAACATTCGAATTGATAAATTTTTGAGATCATCTTTAAGCCAAGAGAAAATGTCAGATTTGTCAATACTATATATAGAGTCTGAAATAGTTAGAGAAATTAAGTGGGAGGAACTTGTGAATAAATTTCCTACAGTCAGATCGAGAATAAAACATATTTGTTAGACAATTTTTAATAGGGTTTCTTCTTTATATTATATTGTATTTNTTAGGGTTTCTTCTTTATATTATATTGTATTTCCTTTAATTTACTTTATAATGAGTGAGTATATGTATGATATGAATGATTACAAATAATTGACGTTTTAAACTTGTAGTAGTTATTTGCGTAATAATATTATA